TTTTTTTTTTTTTGTGTGTGTATACTTAAAACGGTATATCATATTTAAAGTAATTGTTGATCAACAATTACTTACGCCTGGCTAAACAGTACACCGCATATTAGATGACATTAGGCGACTGCAAAGACCCTTATTTAGATCTGATTTGATAAAGTCGTACAATTTCATGATTTGCCAATTTTTTTGATTTACTGCGTTTAAAAGGCCTATGAAGTTGGTTTCAAAAAAGCATCTATCTCATCTTAAAAATCAATTTATTAGCCTAATTATCATATATATATATTTTTTTTATCGCGTCATTTGGACATTTTTTTATTAAAAAAAAATAGTACTACAAACATTTCCCTTTATTATAAATACGAACAATTTATTTAACCACGAGTATAGTTTGGAAATGGACGTCTACGCCCTCGTACGTTCAACATATCCTATTCAACCCACTATGGGTACTGGACAAAGAGAAGTATTGTATGGAGACGACCAGTAATATGAGGATGCCGCAATACTTTTTTTCGGTCAAGCCGCTGGTCCTCCGTCGAAAGCTCACTGGAAGGTTTGTTTTTTGTTTTTTTTTCGCTTGTTTTTATTTTTCTATAAGGGTTTTAAAGTCTGAACTTATTTTTTATTCTTTTTAGGCTGACTGCGAAGCAAAAAAATGTTCCATGACCTATTGTCCTCGTATTTTTAACCTATTTGAAAGACGACACCATTGTCGGAGGTATATATTATATATATATTTTATAGTTTTTGTGTTTATAAATTTCACTAATTAACGTTATTTTTTAATTAGATGTGGAGAAATTTTTTGTGGTTTTCATTGTTCACACTACATTCGCCTCGACCAAAATAATAGGTTTAATCTATCCGGTTTTGCCTCTCGGTAAGAATTATAAAATAATTCTTAATTAAAGCTTAATTAAAGTTTAATTGATATAACTTAACTTTATTTTATTTTCATAGTGTTTGCGATAGATGCTACGATGACTATGTGAGGCTAAGGTATAAACACCCCGAACCTTTTGTATTGAGATATTTGAGAGACCAGGAGGAAGAAGATTCTAGAGAATATCAAGATAGCGGATATAATACAAGTAATAGTTACGGTACCGATAAATCTTCTAGTAATACGAAATATCCTAATAGTGATGATGATATTTTAAAAGAGAATAGTGAGTATTATTTGTGTGAATTATGAATTATGTATGACAACTACTTAATGCTGTAATGGATTAATAACAATATCGATTTTACTATATGACCCATTAATTAGGTTCTCGTACTATAAATCAATATCAACAACCAATAAGTATGTTCTTTAATTATGTTATTATTACGTCAAATATACTTTATATATCTATTAATTATTTTTTTATTCTTTCTTTCTTTACAAATTAGGTTACAACCATATAGTCCCTGAGAATTGGGTTTGGTCAACATTTTAAACGCAATTGATAAAATGTACAATTGTATCATAAAACCATCATAATTTCCAATCAACCAATCATATTAGGACTTAAAAATTCTATTCAACAAATCTTAAAAATTCTATTCTTTTCAACAAATCTATTCCTTTTCAAAAAATCTTAACAATCTTAACCTAAATTTTTTGCTTACAAAACATGACGATCAATTTGAATTCAGGAAGTTTTAGATTGAATGTCTGTTAAATACAAAATAAGATTCTAAAAATTCTATATATATATATACAGTACATATCATAAAAAAACAAAAATGAACATTTTATTTTCTTCATAAAAAAATTTCTTATACTCAAATTCTACAAGAAAAAAAAAAACATTTTTTTTTTTTTTATTTAAAAAAAAAACAATCGGAAATTAACAAAAAAAACACTTTAATATTTTTGTATATTAAATGTG